TAGTCCTCTGATTGGTGTATACTGAATTCTATCAGTCAGGTTGTAATTTGACCACTGGGTGACGTGGGTTCGAATCTCAGAAGGGACGTGAGTTTCTTCAAGGTTGCAGATACGCCTTGCTGATGAGTGTCAACTAGCACGAAACCTAGGTCCAAGGCTTCCTGCCGATTGCCTCCAATCATCTAATACTATGTCATTTTATCAAAATAAAATTTTATCCATAATGGAACCATACTATATCTCCTTGGTCAAGTTTTATACTTATATCAATAGTCTCATAATTTTGCTCATCAACAGAAGAAAACCAACAAACTCGTGGAATAACTAGAAGCAAAGATAGAAATCGAAGCGAAGACATAGAATACTGATTGATGAACACAATCAACCAACGACAACAAGAATCAATTATCTTCAACAGATGGAATTTGAAGGATGTCATCTCTCTTGGTTATCCAGGAGGCATCTCTTCGTTGTGCGTTGGTGGCACAGTGGTTAGGACTCTCGCCGACCATGCACATGGTCCGGGGTTCGAGCCACGCCGACGCACACCTGATATCTGTGGTTGGCCTGTGAATTTCGGGCTACCGATATCCACGCTGAAAATCACTATTGTCCCAAAATACGGTATGGAATCAGCTGTAATAAAAAAATAAATAAATAAATAAAAAAGATAAAAATAAATCTTTTTAGATACAACCAGAACAGATGACGAGGCCAGAGCCAGCCAGAACTGTAAAGACAACACAGACCTTTATCTCTGTGAAATAAGTTTGGAAATCTGTTGCACTCAGCACGAAGAAAAAGATTCTAATCTTCAACATCAATGTTAAGTCAATCATTTCTTCCATATTCATCAAAAACTGAGCCATTGCGTCACAAAAAGCACCTCTGACAGGCCACTACAGACTTTTATCAACAGATACCCTCTTTGCTGGCTATATATTGAAGATGAAATGGCCGGCCTGGGAGAATTAGTAACAAGAAGCTATGGGAATAAACAGACCAGGAATCTGTTTCTCAACAGATATGGGAAAGAAAATGGTGATATATCGAATACACAGTGAGGAGACTGTTATATGTCATCGCGCGACAGGCCATTGCTTGAGTGGAATCTGACGTGTGGTTCTTCTAAGTGTGGCATGTAGGAGATTGTGAGAGAAAGATATCAGAGATTATTGGTAATCGCGAAGGCAGCTTAACAAGTCCCAAAGAATAGGAAAAAGTGGGGTCGTGTTGCTGAAGGCCCTATGTTCCACTTGGAACCCGAGGGAACAATGATTAAAATAAATTTCAGTGAAAATAAGAAAAATTTCCTTACTCTTTATCTAACGTAATTTGCATAGTTCACTAATACCGCTTATCGAATCAGGTTGGTAGTCATAAATTGGACACATTTTCAATAAACTAAAAATTCTCATTTAAACATTTAGATAACAAAGCAAACAATGAAGTGAAGAAATGTATACCCTTCCAGCTAGTTCCTTTATTCACACCTCTACACTAATAATACAAAGCTTCTTTTGTTAAACAAAGATATACTATAATAAGATTCTACTAATCCCAAGTGGTAATCTGTTAACCAATTAGAAAGATATCATTTTCATGGTATAGGTAAGGTGAAAATAATTGCTGGAGTTGGATTAGTAGTTAAAGAATAGAACAATCTAGTTGTGAATATAATTATGCCCTTCTTAATTTGCAGATGTTGCGAACAGAATTTTTTTCCGTAGGTTGATGTGAACTAGTAAAATAAAGTGGTTAATGAATTTATGATTAATTAGGCAAGAAAATTTAGACACGAAGCAATAGGTGAACTAGCCAGAAATGCTTATATCAGTAAAACAATTAGCGTTATATCGATGATAATGCTGTCAGTAGTTAGAAGAACAGGGGAAAGAGTTGTCTAAGAGCTAGTATGCACACAGTGTAGATGGCCAAGAAAAAGAAACACATATTTGGTAGAACTATTATTTATTACATTTGTGTCCGAGTGAAGCATAGGGCTCCCGAAGCACATCCCTATTTCTGTCTATTCTCTACAGTCTTCCCTGCCTGGCTTCACAGTTGGCAATAGGCTTACATCTCCTCCTCAGGTGATCTCCTCCGTGCCGCCCTTGAATGCCAAACTCTTCTTTTCCTATTCCGCTTACTCTCAAGGACTTGTTATTCAGTTGTTTCCTCAGCCTATGGTCGATTCATTTCTACTTACTTTCTTGTATATATACTGTGTATCTGTTAGTCAGGAACTAATTGGAAAGGAATACATTTCTGCAATGAAGTTGTTATCTTTTTCTGCATATTTGTTAGGTAATCAATTATAGATTAGTGCGCTGCCAGAATTCCTTGTTGTTCATCGTTTCTGAACATCTAGTCTCCAGTATCCGGTGAAAGTAACTGTTGATAAAAGTTTGTATCCACTTGTTGGATACACTGCTCGTGATCCTAATACGTAGTCTCTAATCCTTGTAGAACCAATGACTCAGTTGACACTAGTATTGGGAATTTGATCTTGATTTCAAAATTGTATTAGAAATTATAAAGTCCTACTTTGATTACATGATCCTGACTGGTTTTGAAATTCTCATTAGTGCATTTTGTCTGTAGGTGAAAGGATACTGCCTAGAGCATTTTGGTGAAAGAGATGATTTTCTTCAGATTACTTCCTGCCGATAGTGATTGATGCTTGTTGGTGTTGTTGTTGTTGTTGTTGTTGTTCAAAGATCCTCATCACTTCTGTCTTCTCTACGTTGACTTGAAGTGCCATCTCCACTGCCTACCTCTTCTGATGACTCATTGGTTTTTGCCTGTTTCTGTGATATAAGTTATCTGCGAAGTCCAGATATTACAGTGTCATCTTCTTTCCCGTAATCTATGGCCTGATTCAGGTCAACACGATCAAGAATATCATCGTTGATAGTAGACGGTCTTGTCTTATTTCTTTCTTCACTTCAAAGGTATATTCAGATGAAACCCTACCTTTGTTCTGTTGTATTATAAATGTTGAATTCGTAGAGTATGATTAAAGTTGGACAAAATATTATAAATTATTTAAAAAGCAGTTAAGCCAGTGAATGAACGTAGAAAAAACTAAATTATTCAGTTTATCTTTATTTCGCTAATTGGGCAGTAAGTCGAGTTATATAGTTGAACAAAAAGTCCTTCTGAAAGCCGATTTTAGACGTACTCAAACAATTTCATTGGTAATACCACTTGGAAATTCGAGGCTTGGAAACACTCGCCTTTCGTAATTATCAACAACCGAGTCTTGATGCTATTTTCATTCAGATGGAACATAGTATCTCAAGCCACCGACACGTCACTAGTAGTGGTATTGGTTTTATAGAGTTGGGTTGATAGCTTCACTGTGAACCTTCCAGGTTCCCACTCTTACTACTGGCTAGCAACCTAGGTGGGGTTTACGGGTGCAGTGGCTGGAAATCGAACTCGGTCTTCTCGCATGACTGGCAAGCATTCTACCAATGAACCAGAGATGCACAAAGTGGTTGATTAAACCAAATATTTCAGCAAAAACCTTGTCAGATATCCGTTCCTTCTGAGCAAACCATGAATATAACTGAGTACGTTGCTAAAGGTATTTCTGATTTCATTTTTGTTAGGTTTATAGTGATAAGCGGATCGCTTATATTAAAAGAAACTGAGGATAGACAATGTCACGACATTACAATGACATATTTTACGCTTTTTTAATTATTCTTTGAAAGATTTAAATTATTGAATGGGTACGAACTGATAATTGAAGGTTCCACTTTCAACAGGATAAAGAAATGATACAAAATAAAAACGGTTTCTAACACTGTATAGACATCACCGAAAGAAAATCGTCTTCATAACGTGTTCCATGTTGCCACTGAAATATATTGTAGTTTCACTAATTCTACGACTTTTATAAATTCCAGTGGTGTTTTGGTGATCGAATGAGGGTCACTACTGTTCCAATTGCAACGCTATTCACCATCATTAAAAAGAACATAGAATGACAGTCAACTGTCTAACTCAACTTCCTAATCTTCGAAAGGGCCTTTGGTAGCAGTGATCATAAAGTAATTTGGAAACCGACTGAACAATATGGAGTGCAGTGGAATCAGGATTGCATAACCCTCATTCAGCCACAGCTCTGTGATCCCCCCCCAGAAAACTCAACAAAATGTTTAAAGCGGAGACAAAGGTAAGACAAGGCTGCCTAGTATCACTAATGGTGTTCCTAATTGCGGTTGACTAGGTCATGAGGCAGGCTAGGGAGAGTGAGAAGACGGGCCTACGCTGGCAGTACATAATGACCCTAGAGACGATTTTTCCTCTTGTCTTGCAAGCCAAAATGAAATAATTTGGCAGAAGAAACTGGTAACGAGGACAAGATAGTGACCACAGAGAGGACACTGGTTGTGAAAGCACCTAACGAACAGCAACAACGAGCACCAGTCAGTATCAACAGAAAAAAAAACTGGAGGAAGTAGCCTCTTTCATGTGGTCGTCTGTGTAGCATAGTTTCAACTCTGAAGAGTGCTGCTTTTGGCCTAGCAATCTGTTCATACTTACCTTCGTGTGACTAACAAAAACTTTGAATGTAAAATGACTATCCTTCTTTTGAAATTTTCAAATTTTAACAATCACATTCACCTCGAACTGTAAGCGAATTGTAGGATTTGGCATTTATATGTCTATCCTCCATTACCACTTCTTGGCATATAAACTATTCGCTTTATGTAACTATCTGGACTATCTCCCGCCTACAAAATACTTTTATGATATTATACAACTTATGCCACATAAAATCTTTTGTTTTCGATATTCAAATACATCATTGGTGTCATACTTCGTCCATGGGAGTTGAAAAGAACAAACTTTGTTACCACAATAGGTATACTGACAACTAACTTCCCCCTTCTATTTTCATTGGTAAATTCAACAATGTACAAAGGCGAGTATCCACCTATATGATGGCATATTCGTATAGTTTAATGACGCAACTGGTTGAATTTTTAGTGAACAGATAGACTTTTCACAATAATTCTAACAAATCAATTCATTTTTGGGCTTGTGGGATGTGAAAAGTATCAGTTTCTTTTTAATGTGTCCAGAAAATAGTAAAATCTCACTTACATTTATTGTGTAAACGTACTGAAGACAATTCATTCTATTCTTAGGAATCTACCAAATAAATATGTCAGGACATTCAAAAGGTCAAGTGGTGAATATTCCTGTGAATCGTGAACCAAGATCATTTGAGAAACAAAGACGTGATCTATTGACAAGTTTGGAAAGTGGAAGTAATAGTACTAGTGTTAGTAGTAGTCATCCTGGGAAGTCTCTTACACAATATCATGAAGACTGGTCCAGAACAGTTAACAATTGGGTTAATTCAACTAGGAAAAAATGGGATGAAGATATGAATCGGTTGAGGAAAGGAATGTTTGAATTATTGGTGAGTTATTATTATTATTATTGTTATGCCTAGTTTTATCCTTCATAATAATTAATATCGTTCAGTGGAAAAATAAGATATCTTTTGAAGAATCTGTTTATTCATGCTTACTGATTTCTTTTCTGGAGAGTATCGTTCAGGAGTTCTACTTGACCAGCTGGGTAAATTTTAACGGAAACCAATCATTTTTCGATTAAATAACTTCTCTGAATGTTTTATTTTAATATGTTGTACAGTCGTCTTAACACCAGACGTACGTTTTGTTCGTGATTCGCAGTCTACACACTTTGAGACGAAACTTCGGATAAAAGTTATTTCTAATTCAGCTCTGATCTCCCTGTTGACTGTCTGCACCGAAATGTTCGGCCGAAAGTATAATAAAACAAAGGGTAACTGATGCCAATGCAAAACATGTGACTGTTGTATGGCTCAGGTGGTCTAGTGAATAGAGCTTTAGCGTTTGAAATGAAGGGTTTGAACCTCGATTCAGACACCATTATTCACTGAGGAAAGCAGGTACATCCAGACGACGAATACTTAACAGGACGAAATGTGCATCCTGAATCCCACTGCTAGTTACCATCTACTAAGTTATTCAGATAACAATCTATAGCTAAATGGAATTCGGTTGGTTTGAATCTTTGCAGTGAGTCACACAGGTTGTATCGCTGATGAGCTCTGCCCCAAGCGAGCAAAGTTACCGTCCGGTGTTTACATTACCTCATCTGACTAGCAACAACTACTGTTTGGTGTGAGTGATATCCAACTACGCATATTGCAAATCGCGAGTTTGACCTGAAAATATCAATATATCAATACATTGTTGCTTCAATCTTGGTTGGATTTCGGATTCTTTTTTGTTTGCCTAAAACTACCCCTTTCGTTCATTCTCTTCACTGGTTACGTAATGTTCAGTTCATTTATAATTTTGTACATTTAAATCTTCTTATATTTTATTATATCCTGAAATCTTTTCAAATTAATCTGTCGATTGGATGCAAATGACTCAGCGAAATAGTATTACCTACTTGATGATGTTTCGAACACAATTTAGGCGTTCATAAAATCATTCCAATTCTAATTATGCGACCTCGAAACTTGATTTTTATCATTGTGATTCTAGCCTAAGTGACAGTGACCTTGAACGACCAATCAGAATTTAGATGCAAAATAGTCGCATAATCGTTTAAAAATGAACTAAAAGTCATTACAAACATGATATTACATCATAAAGTTGTCGCTCATGAGTTGTAAGAATGTCTCCAAGTCACCACACAGATGATCTTTAGAGAAATTATACCATGCGCGATAGATGCATTCATCCAGGTGACTGCAGATCATGGTTATGTGAGATTTATTGGTGTTTCTGACACTGTTCTTTAACCTACTCCTAACTCTAATCGTAATGCTAACTCCTTATCCTAACTTTAACCCGAATTCTAACCTAAACCCTAGACCCTTATTTAAAAAGCCATAATCCTACCGAACAGTATGGATTTACGGAATAGGTGCCTGGGGAATAAGTAGAATACCTTCTCCAAGTCCAAAGAGGCAGAATAAAACTTTTGCACTGTAGCAGAGTAAAATTCCACTATAGATAAAATTTATTTTGATAAAGTCTGACAGTGTTATACAGTAATATTTACTGATGACGTTTCGATATGGTTATGAGCAATAAATTATTCTCGAAACGTCATCAGTAAATATGACTGTATAACACTTTGAGACTTGATCAAAATAAATTTTATCCAAAGAAGCAGGCATGATTTAATTAGGAAGGACCTTTCACTGCATTCCCTATATCTGATTGGTTCTTGTAGGTCAACTTTTGAAATACCTTGACTTTGTCTATGATATCTTAACTTAGCCCTTCTTTTATTTCTCGTTGATTTCCGAACATCATCATACTGCGTGGTTAAGTAAAGGGCAAACAAAATCTTTTCGTAGTACTATTCTATCTCATCTTGTGGATACAGAACACAAGATTGATGTTGACCAGGCTTTCAGAGTCATTTACCGCATACCGACAAATCTCAATTTCGCCTAAAGAGTTCGTTTACTAAATATTGCTAAGGCTGGCTGTTGGGATCCATATTAAGAAGTCTAATTTATGTGTCTAAAAGAACATAATTCAGACATTAGCCTTACCTTGGCTATCTAGGTTTGAATGATCCTCAATTTTTAGGGAATTTCCCTAATTTTGACTGATATTCTATTTGATATTATATCTTTATTATTATTATAGTTAAAGCATCTTTAATGAACTGTAATTCCACTGATCTTACTTTACAAATCGACATTATTTAAAAAATACTAATATTGTTATTGACTACTATTCTAGAATATTCTATGTAATAAACATATATATTAATATTAATAATAACTGTAGAGCCAGAAGAGGAAAAGGATATTCTTTGCTTAATTATTTTGTATTTCCTGCTTGTCAAGGGAGTGAAAGAATTTTTCAGATGTCAGGGACAAATGTTGAATCCTTCCTGTCAGTTGATTCCGTAAATAAACCTTCGGCCTCTCTATCTCAGTGTATTCGATTTTAGAACTGTCACTACGTTCCATCCTGTTGTCTGGTGTATATGAAATTATATGAAATGCTAAAGCTAAACTTTTTTCAAAGATGTCTTATCTTGTTAAGACATCTACTGGACTAGATTTCGTTAACTTTTACGGCCATGTTAGTCTAAATGACTTTAACCCATTACTTTCGCAATGGCGGGAGTGGTCAATGGCAAACTGATGTAAAGATCTGACCAGATTACATATACCTTATAACAGAATCCCAATTTGCACATATCCTCTTCCGTATTGTGCTTCTTTTGCCTTCCCTTCATATTTTCTATGTTGTTTCATAAAGATCTTTGATTTCTCCTCATTGCCAATTATTCCATACGCTTACTATTCAATATTTTAGTTGAAAACTTCACACAACATATACTACTTCCGAAATTTCGTCAGTAAACATCCAAGAATTTGACTCGTATATTTAAACTGACAGTCACTAGGTCATATTAGATAAACTAAATTATTTTATTCAATGGGCATCATAGAATCCTTTGACCAACATACCTTGTTTCTCAGTGATCTTTTCAGTGTGAGTGCCACTTTTATTCCTACCTTGTTAAGGACTCTACTTGGAGTTTTGGGGACTTTCACTTTGTATTATTACAATATTATTATTTCCTATAATTCCTAAAGGAACATAGGGCTTCAGCCACGTATCTCCATTGCTTTCGGTTCTCTGCTAAAGTCTTCACCTGGCTCCACGTCTGCCCACATGCTTTCATCTCCTCTTCACATAACCTCCTCCAAGTCACGCCCTCATTGACGACCAACTCGCCGCTTCCCTTTCGCGTTCCACTCGAGGGCTTGTCTAGTGATGTCACTTGATGGTTTCCTCAGAGTATGGCCAATCCATCTCCATTTCTTCCTGCTATTTGTTGCACAATTGGTTCCTGGTTGGTTCGATCCCAGAGATCCTTGTTGCTGATCTTTCCTGGCCGGCCATATGATCTTAAGTATTCAGCAAAGACAGCTGTTGATGAAGGTCTGTAGTTCGTTCGAAGTGGTCTACATGATGCGCCAAGTCTCTGATCCGTATAGTAGTACTGACTGACTTCACATCGGAGTTGAAAATCGGGATCTTATTTTCATGCTGAGTAGGGCTGTTGACCTCTACATATTACTTCAGGACTGAAATTTTGAAGCTTCAGTAGCGGTGTAGTTATTTCTTCACTAGAGGAGTGTGGTTTCCAGTTTGACGACCTACCTTCTCTCTTCTCTATACATTACTGTCGACTAGTGAGTGGAGCGAGGTTTAAGCGTGTCGGTTGGGAATCAAGTCAGTGGACGACGTGAGTGGTTGGTGAGTATTCTACTTCTTAATCACTGACTCACCGGATTAAGTGTTACGTAAGAACAAGGTATCCATTAATTAACAACACCCTGGATCTCACTCTAATAGTATGACGTTTAAGTGTTCCACCCCGTATATCTGCAAAATGTACTTTCAATGAGGCAAACTGTTTTAACAGTAAACAAACTGATGCTGTTAGGTTGAATCATGTGAGTTGATCGTCTGTCAATTTTCACACTATCACGTAACTGAGTGTCATAAAGGTCTGTCTAGCGTAGATTTAAGGCGTTTCCTTCACCTTGACTCTTCACATCTTAACCAACAATTGCCCGGATAACACATACACGACTATCTTCATGTAGGAGTTTATTTCTGTTTACGCCTGTCCACTTACGACATAGAATGAAGTGAGAACAATCGAATGTTCAAATGATTAAAATCGGAAAATAAACTTTTAGTTAGGAAATGAATAATATGCATTTAAGTTTATATATGACAGTAGATTTTGATCATTAAGAGGTGAAGCAGTCAGTGAAATAACAATAGAAAATGACTATTATTATTCCCTTGGATTGTGAGTAGAACATGGAAACTCAGCTTCACATCATCATTTCATCCTGTTTTATGCAGGCTATTTTAACTGGTTACAAGACTTCCCAATAGCTTTCATTTCCACCTCATACGATCTCCTCCATTTCACCTATGAAACTGTGGGCTCCCAACTCGTCGTTGCCAATTCGCGTTCAACTCGACAATCTGTTTGACTCGTGATGTCATTCGGTACTCAGTGTAATACATTTCCACGATGATTTCAGAGTGATATTTGTCTTGCTTTTCCGATCCGATGGTCTGTGACATCCTCATCTATGCCTTGTGCGGTTGAAATGATCCTTCCTGTATACGTGAGAGAGATACCTTTCTACGAATGTTCCCCATTCATGGTGATTGGTGACTGTTTTTATTGTAGTGCTTGTTTAGATGTCTTCATCATCTCTGTCTTCTCTGTGTTTAGTTGAAGTACTGTATCTGCTGCCAACCTTTTCTGCTAGAAGTGTTTGTTTATGCCCGTAGATCTTCGAGATTGTGCATTCTACCACAAATTATAATTAATTAAACGATTGAGATTAATGTGAGATAGTGTGATAATATTAGACGAACATCAACACACCATTGATTCTCATGACCA